AATTAGCCTATTAATAAACATTTGCAATACAATTCGTAATGCAAATTATTTTTAATGTAGGCATTTCTTGCGAAAAGTTGCATTTTTATTTATTTATTTAACATTCGAGGTAAATAACTGCGATTATTACTTAAGTACTGGCTAATACATCATTTCTAAAATCTTATCTTTTTCTTTTCTTCTGTTTTCTGCCACCTACCCCCAGAAATGCCCAGGACTCCGACGGATAAGTGCAGTGACTCAGACTCCGCCATCCTCAGTCAGACGCGCTCTTCTCACACGCGCGCGGCTTATATACACACCCGTGACGTCAGACATGCGCTCACAAAAGCCCTTTATTTCCTCTTATCCTGGAGTTTCCTCATCCTTTATACCACTGCTGGAAAATTACTACAATGCTTCTAATACAAAACACAATGAATTCAATCAAATAACTTGTATTTATTCAAACCTTTGCTCCTTTTAAGTACATTTTACATAACTTATTTTAGCCTACTTTTTGTTTAATAAATTGAAACGTACATTTTTATGTATACATAAAATGTGAATTTTGTATGAATGCAGTTTTTTTTTTTAAATAGCAAGAAACACGTTTCAAAAACTCAAATTTTCTAAATTAAAGTTAGCTACATTAAATTAATCATTATACATTAATTTCAAATGAATTAATGAAACAATAAATGCAGAGCTCAAAATGAAGATAAGTGTTATGAAACTTTGTGGTTGTCAGATGGTAATGGGATATAATGAATGTGAAATATTACACCTGCGGATACTCTACGAGGACACCTGTGTGAACCTGAGCAGAAGCTTGTGCTGCATTTACTTTGATACTTGCTTCTCAAATAAAGATATATAGGCTACTAAAGTTGGTAACTATAGAGTTCTCCACACTGCCCTCTTTCATTCACATGAAGCTCGTCTTCAGCTTCGTTACAGTGCGGTTAATATGGCACCGGTATAAACACATGCAGGTGAACTCAGAAAGAAACAGGTATGACTAGGCACAGTCTATACGGGAAAACAGAGACAATATAGTTTGATTTTCCTTCCTGGAACACGCCTTCGTGGGAGGGACTGTCCCGAACCAATATAAGCAGCACACAAGTGTGTGGAGAGAGAAACACTCAGGAAGAAACACACTTCACTGCTCAACTCAACTCAACTCAACAAGGTAGGCTGCTGCACTGCTTTAAACGACTGCAATTAATGAAAACTTTAAGATTGTTGAACATCGAAACATCTTTTATTTTAACAGTAGGTAGGCTATTTTCTGTATTACAGTTCTGATATTTCTTAAGGTTGTTGTTTAATGTTAATCAACATTCTGTAGCAGCCCGTGAAAGCAGCTGCGGCAAATGTTAATCGACATGTTGTAATGAAGAAATATTCCCTGAATCCCGTTTCTGTTCAATGCTTGTTTACGTTACCTCCGTGGAAACTGAGCTCGTGTTGCCTGGGCGAGATCTCTAGGGCGCGAGCGCTATGCAAATATTGAATTCTGCCAGTGTGTAAGTGACTGCCACCTGTTGCCTACTACTTGCCATATCTTTTCTCAGTGCCAAGAAGAGTCACTTACTGTTCGAATGAATACGTGCAGTTAAAGGCCAGCATTGATAGTTAATGTGTGTGTGTGTGTGTTTTGTGCAGCAGGCATGGCAAAGCGCGTGGCGCTGATTCTGTCCGGCTGCGGCGTGTATGACGGCACAGAGGTTCACGAGGCGTCTGCTGTGATGGTGCACCTCAGCCGAGCAGGTGCCAAGGTAATAATGCACACAAATAAAGCAACACAAAGAACACTCTGAAAATCTGGGGGTTCTTTAAACCTTGAAATAAGCAGAAACTCGGCTCATTTGCAGCTCCGTCTCACATGCAGCTGACGTTGCTTCGCAGGTCCAGATGTTTGCGCCTGATGTTGAGATGATGCATGTGGTGAACCACTGTGAAGGCAAGCCCGGGACGGACAAGAGGAACGTGCTGCAGGAGAGCGCGCGCATCGCCCGGGGTGACGTCACGGACCTGGCCAAGCTGGACGTCGGCGACTTTGATGCGCTCGTCATTCCAGGTGATCATAGAGCTGCGGCAAAGACCCGCCCACAGCACGAAGGATCACTATAGAGAGAAATATATAGCGATAACTTCATTAAAATCCAAAGGAATGGACGATCACGTTCTGCAGTTTTGACGTCTGCTGCTTCATTATATCATTATTATATGTATAATCATTACAATTAACGTCATTGACATGAATGGGCCTTAAGTGTTAAAATTCAGTGAAAACAACCTGGCATCCATTTGTATAATGTAAGGTGCACTTGTTGTTACTAGGCTATTTACGTATTTATTTACCTACCTCAAAAACTGTAAGAAAGAAAAAAAAAACCCAGATGACCAAGTTGTAAGACTAGTCTTATGCAACCGGCCGTGCCAGTAAAAGCTGTTTTTGGACTAGCATGGAAGTTTTGAGTTCTGAAACTGAAAGTCTGAAACTTTCATTAATGGTATAGTGACTTATCGTATATGTTAAAATCTCAAGAAAATTTGATTTCTTTCTTCATGACCTCTTCAATGGTAAATTAACTCTTAAATGTGCCGTACAGGTGGTTTTGGAGTGGCTAAAAACCTGAGCGACTGGGCCACCAAAGGCAAGGACTACTCAATCAAACCTGAGATTGAGAAGGTCATTAAAGCTTTCCATCAGGCCAAGAAACCCATGGGCATGTGCTGCATCTCTCCTGTGCTGGCAGCCAAAGCTATTCCCGGGTGTGAGCTGACCGTCGGCCACGACTCGGAGTGTGAGAAGTGAGTCTGAGCAGGTTCATGCAGTAGAGTCATTAAAACTGGGCTCTGATGATGCTAATGGTTAAGAGGCGCTTTGGTTCTGAACTCCGTGTTGTCTTTCTTGCGCTCGCAGGTGGCCGTACGCTCAAGTGGCTAAAGCCATGGCTGAACTGGGCTGCAAACACTTGAACAAGAACGTGGGCGAGGTGCACATCGATTCCAAGAACAAACTGGTGACTACGAGTGCGTTCATGTGCAACGCTGACATCCATGAGATCTTTGATGGTCTGGGTGTCATGGTCAAAGAAGTTCTCAAACTAGCCTAATTTTGTCATTTGACTGTCTGAATATTATTACATTAATAGATATGTATATTTATTTATAAATGAATGTTGTCCTTTAAACCCAGGAAAAAAAGCATCACAAAACCAATGAGACCAGTTCATTTTCAGTAAAACAGGGCAAACATACTGTTTTTGTGGTAGTCTATTATCAATAAAACTGATCAGATTTTAAACATTTCCTTGTTCATTGATGTGTTAATGTGTGTTGTTCATATCATTATAGACAAGCGCAATAAGCATTATTTTACAATAAGTATTATTTGAACTTTTATTGTACACTTACTTGGTTTTTCCTTAAGATTGGCAACTCAAACCCCCAAACACTGGCAACACTAAAGTGGATTTGAATTTAATAATTCAATTTAATATATATATATATATATATATATAAAAAAAACATTATAAAACATATCAATTTCAAGTAATAGTTTGTGACAATAAATAACACATTTGACAAACAATGTACCATCAGATCCAAATAAATTAAGCTTGCTTTCACCATTAAGTGAACTTTGGACCAGTTCTCCTCTCTCCACACAACCACACAACATTCTCCTCCTCAGCAAAGGTGAGTTTAGCCTTTTGATTCTTTCAGTTGATGAGAGGTTAGGTCACAGCATAGTGCGCTTTCAGGCCGACTTCTCTTAAATGTGCCGAGACAGATCCTTACCCTGTGCAGCGCTGAACTGGTGAGCAATTCCAGCTGCAGTGTTGAACCGATTCACCATTGAGAGTCTCTGGAGGAATCTGCAAGTGTTCTCTAACTTCCCAGGTGAAAAATAAATATATTTAAATTGTGCTTTTTCAGACATACTTACTATATTTAAATTATACTATACTAAGTGCATATTAAATGTATTATTTTGAAACAACTTTAAGTACATTTAATACTACGTCTTTTTCACCTGGGTTTGATCAGTTCTTTTTCAAATATCTCATTTAAGTTTTTTATACAGTGCTTCAGGAAAGAGACACCTGCACCCACAATCTATAGGACACCAGCATAGTTTGAATTTATCCTGATCAACTAAATAAACAAACTGACATGTAGTTTCAAAGTCACTTACAGTCAGCTGAATGTCTTTTGAGAGCATCAAAATAAAGTGTCAGCAGATATTAAACAGACAGTCTACTAATACTCTAATGACTGCTAGTTGACATGGAGCTGCAAAGTTACATATTGTTAGCAGAATGCATAACCAGAATGAATGAGCAGGATTCACTCCAGATACTCATGCATATGTAGGTTTTCATCTTATTTTTTGTTTACAATTTTCCCATACGTCTTCAGGAGAACTGAAGATGAAGATACTGTGTCGACTAGTGACTGAGGTTATTATCAGCTTTATTATACACGCTTGTTTGAGATCCTAAATCTAGATCCAGAGCAAGACACAAAGTAATGAGACCAAGACCATGTCTATGTGTGATCTATAGAGGTTTCAAGACCAAAGGCCAGATTTACTAACAGCTTGTACCAGTGCAAACCCTCTTTTGACTTCAGAAAACTACTGTCAGGATTTACTAAAGTCATACAGTTAAAAAATAGAGCTAAAAAAGCATGGACAGTTATTTTTGTGGCTGACTTTATTGCATATGCATTTGTAGGAGTTTCCCTTTCAACATTTACGGGAGGAGAGGATTTAAATGAGTCATGATGAATGCAATGTGATTTACTAAGGTTTGCGGTAATGAGTTTAGAAGTATTTGTGACATTACTTAAAGCCCAGGAAAAGCATGTCTTTACCCGTATTGCACTGGACCTGGCTGCAATAGCTGCTCTCGGTGGATTGCATTATGTGGTGTTGCTGTTGCTCTGTCTTTTCTCTATTTGTTGAATCATTTGCAAATGACTTAAACATCCAGAGGTAATACTGAACAATTTATTGAGTATTTCAGATCAGTTCCATATTCAGAAAGTGACAGTCAAAGGACACATACAGTTCAAAATCCCACAACACATGATTTCCTGAAAAGCCTGAAAGATACATACCCAAATTTTAAATAAAAAAAATGTATATAGGACATATAAATATAAACTTTCAAATTGTCACAAGTAATGCTAAGTAATAAGAAAAACAGGTATAACAGCTAAAAAAAAAAACGCTGTTTCATTTGACACACATTGTTAAAGTTTAATTAGTTCATAAAGCTAAAGCACCCATGTCTTAAATAAAGAGGTCATTATAAACCGGTCACAGTTTGGAGGTTTTGTTGGAGAAATGGTTGTGTTTGTCAATACCGCTGACCAGCACCGTGGCAAGAAAAGTCCTGGGACGCTCAGGGTCCTGTCAGCAAAACACACACATATTTATGTTTAAACATCTGTGGATATGTCTATGTGAAATGTAAACTGAGTGAGATGTTTACCTGGATTGGATAAGTGGATGTAGGGACATATCGGATCACATAGCCACAGCGCCTCCTATTAGATGTGTTGGGATCGCTGGCATGAACCAGAAGGCCATCATGGATCTGAATCCAGAAGCAAACTTAAATTAAACTCAGATATAAGCTCGTTTTGATTTGTTCCATGGTTTTGACATGGTAGTGTATTATTTTTTCAGATGGTCATGGCAAGTATTCATACTCACAGACATCTGACCAGCTTGAAGGGGGCATAAGATGGCCTTCTCCGTCTCCACCAGCTCCTCTGGGATCTCCTGATTGACGCTTAGCATGTTGCCAGCTCGTTTTGACTGGTAATGGGGCAGAAGACCAGAGTGGTGGCTTCCTGTTGGGAAAGAAGTTTAGACACCTCACAAACCAGACAAAGTGACACAACCCATCTTGCAAACAGAGACGGTGTTCATACCTGGAATAACCTGCAGTGCTCCGTTGTCCTCAAGTGAGTCATCCAGAGCGAGCCAGACGGACAGAACGGGACCTCCATCAAAGCCCCAGTACCTGGAAACCAACATATGATGATTACTGAACACTCGGAATGGATATCTAAGCCAACATAAACCCGAAATACCATTTTTATTGTGCTTACTTCATATCCTGGTGCCAGGCCACAAACGGCATCCCATCTGTCTTCTCAACACCGTCCTTTTCCTTATCACAGGTGTTGTTCGGTTGGATGACGCCGGTGCTTTCTTGCGTCTTACATACTGGATATTTACAAATGAATCTGGAGTCCAGCAGGATGACGTCTGGCCCCAGAACTGCTATGACCGCCTCCAGAAGCTTAGGGTGCTTGGCGAGGCCCATCACCCAGTCATACTCCTTGTGGACATTATGAAGGCTGTAAGCGGTGTAATCTTCACCTGTTGAGGAATACTTGGATTAATTCAAGTCCAAACCTCAATTCAAAGTCTTATATGTGACCCTGGAGCACAAAAGCAGTCTTAAGTCGCTGGGATATATTTGTAGCAATAGCCAACAATACATTGTATGGGTCAAAATGATCCATTTTTCTTTCATGCCAAAATCATTAGGATATTAAGGGTGCCATGAAGATATTTTGTAAATTTCCTACCGCAAATATATAAAAACTTAATTTCTGATTAGTAAAATGCATTGCTTAAGACTTCATTTGGACAACTTTAAAGGTGATTTTCTCAGTATTTTGATTTTTTTGCACCCTCAGATTCCAGATTTTCAAATAGTTGTATCTCAGCCAAATATTGTCCTATCCTAACAAACCATACATCGATGGAAATCTTATTTATTCAGCTTTCAGGTGATGTACAAATCTCAATTTCATAAAATTCACCCTTATGACTGGATTTGTGGCCCAGGGTCACACATGTAAGTCGACAGCACTGAAGCTCACCTCTTATTTATTCAGCTTTCAGGTGATGTACAAATCTCAGTTTCATAAAATTCACCCTTATGACTGGATTTGTGGCCCAGGGTCACACATGTAAGTCGACAGCACTGAAGCTCACCATGTTTTCTCTCCAGCTCAGCGAAGGCATCCCGGGCCTGCTGCAGCTCTTCAGGACTCAGGTTGGGAATGGCCGACATGTACCCCTGCTGCTCGTACAAGGCCTGAATCTCAGCCGCGTCTCTCTTCATGTCTGAAAATGCAGTGAAACTTCCTCTTGTCTGCTGGAGATGTGCTGAGAACGCCGTCTCTTGCTTCATTTGCTTCTCAAGGGCTAAAGCTCAGCTGTGCACACTACACAGGGAAAGAAAACCTGTTTTAATAACCTGGTCAGAAAGATGGGAAACAAAACTTTGCATCCACGTTCAGTCATTTCCATTTTCGACCTCTACTCCTCCCCACTTATTCATGGCACATTTATTCTGGGTTGTTTATGCAGGCACAGAGAGTGCTATAGTGACTGGAGGCAATGGTCCATGAGCAATTAAATGGGAAGAACATGCTACTCTAGTAGACTTATTTTCATTGCTAAAGTTCACCGAGTGTGCAGACAAAAAAAACACAAACCCGAGATGCTGATTTCCTCTTGGTTCAAGCTGTAGACAAAGTTGAAAGAACAGTATACAACAATTATAAATCTATCGAGGAAAGTATGGAAACTGAATCATATTTAATTCAGCCAATACCTGTTCTTTGCTCTTCAGGCTGTTTCGTCCTAAGATGTCTTGCTCTTCACTGTCAAACTGTGTTTATATACAAGAAGTTGCGAATTAGGCTCCTCCTCCAAAATTAAATTGCATGACATCTTTACTATTTTAGACTCCAGGGGGAAAAAAAGAAAATATTTTAACCACCCTATCATACATGCCAGGGTGTGTAAGTATGCCAAATATGTTGCAATGTGCTGAGCAAGTCAACTAATGATGCTGGAAATTCTAGAGTCATAAGTCATATCTGTGACCGGATAATACTTACTCAAGAACACAATGCCTACATTGTCACCTGCTCGTAAAGCAAAATCATTTATTAATATATGACATTTACCCAAACCATACAGTAGGTACTTACTATATATTATACTATTTACTTAGCTACTATCTATTCAAATCTGTGAAGAGTGTCTAAAGGTCAACAAAATAATGGCTTAATTATTCAAATAAAATATTTAAAATAGTTTATATTTCTAAAGATTTCTATTTTTTTTGTAATATTTGAACTACTATTCTATTTATGTGTTGACTTTTATTGCATTATTGAATATTTTTCCGCCAAAATTGTGTGCAACTTCAGTCACATTTCAGTTTATAAAGACATTTGTGAGCTTAAGTCTTAAGTCGCTGGGGTATATTTGTAGCAATAGCCAACAATACATTGTATAGGTCAAAATTATACATTTTTCTTTTATGCCAAAAATTATTAGGATATTAAGAAAAGATCATGTTCCATGAAGATATTTTGTAAATTTCCTACCGTAAATATATAAAAACTTAATTTTTGATTAGTAATATGCATTGCTAAGCACTTCATTTGGACAACTTTAAAGATGATTTTCTCAATATTTAGATTTTTTGTTTTTTTTGCACCCTCAGATTCCAGATTTCAAATAGTTGTATCTCAGCCATCAAATCTCCCCTTATGACTGGTTTTGTAGTCCAGGGTCACATTTCTATTTAAGTAGAAAAAAATCCTGCAATAATAATATGATCATGAATATTAAATATGCGTTTTCAACATAATGTATATTTTGTTATATCTGAATAGCCGAAATAGAGCTATTAGCAATTTCTTTCTTAAATATAATATGTCAGTGTTTATTTAATATATATGCGTAAATCGTAATCAAAGAATATGAATGGTTAAGAATTTGGGTGACAAACATCTATGGTAATGCAGTTTTATTAAAACAATATAGTTTAAAAAAAGGATTCTGATGCGTTATAATAACGCATTAAAACCTGACCCATTTAACATGGGCTATGTACAGTGAAAGCACAAAATCAGAGATGAACTTTACTGAATGAGATTACAACTGAGCAAACATCCTGGAAAAAACAAACAGTAATTCATAAGAAATGAGCTCAATATAGGGAATTCCAATGGCCATGGGCTTCCTTATCGTCAAAGCTTCAGAAACTTCTTTAATCGTTTCCTTCTTAAGGTGTATTGTTTTTCTGCAATAAGTCAGTTTAATATATTGCCATAAAGTCAGCTGACATATTAACAAGACAAAATAAATTTGCTTATAAAGATGACAGTATACAGGATTGTTTGAGTTTCATGTTTTCAGTCAGTGAAGCGGTTCAGATTTATTTACACTGAGACGTTACAAAAGTGCAGTTTCCACACAGTCATTGTTCAAACACAGTGACAAACAATATGAAAGAATGATACAATAAAAAAATAAGAACCTCATATAAATAAAGCAGTTAAAAGGAACTTTTGAAGTTTTAAAGATACGAAGTAGCTTGTGTGCATTTGTTTAATGTGATGAATGAATCTGTGGGCGTTCAGGGGAAGTCCAGCTGGCCGTGGTGCTCACAGTGTTTGGGACAGACGTATCCGCCGCGCTGCTCTTCTCTGGGCTTTCTCCTGTCTGCTCTGGGCCGGTCCTGCTCGTTGTTGCAGCGATGCACCAGAACCGGCTCTTTCTCGGCTGGAGATTTCTTCATCAGCAGTCTCTGGAGAATGCGTTTGTCTGAGCGCTCCTTCCGGAAATCATCCTCGTACACCTTCAGCTGAGAAAACCAACAAGATGACATTTAAAACATATGAGATATCTCCTTTGATAGTGTATATGTGCAGTTGATGCCTTTTCTGTTTTCGCAATATTAGACTATAATGATACAGAAATTAAATGGCAACTAAATTCATATTAACGTGCACATCCGGTTGTCAGTCCATAAAAACAGAAAGAGAAGATGAGACAAGATAATCATCAGGTTTCCTGTGAAACACAGTCTATTTTAGTCATCTCCAGTGTTGGGTAACATACTCTAAAAATGAAATGAATTACTAGCTAATAATTACGTCTTCAACAGTGTAATTAGATTACTGTACAAATTACTCTCTCTAAAAAACACTGCATTACTTATTACTAATTACTTTTTAATTCACAGATCAACCTCGACAGAATAGACATGAAACCGATCTTTTATTTAAATAATATAAAACTACATAGATTATTCTTGATCTGACCAAAGAATTTAAAGGGAGAAGGTTCCATTAATAGAAATTACATGTTGGTGTTAAATCCGCTATTGTTTTACATTGAAATATTCAATGCAATTACATCAAACAAATTACATTACAGACAAACTGTACTCCCTTACTTTACTCTTTCAAGGAAACATAATTAAATTATGGGGATGAATTATTTAGGAATGCATTGCACCCATCACTGATCATCTCTTATGACATACTCAACGTCACAACTGCATGGCATCACAATTAGTTTCACTGGAAACCACCAAAACCTAATTTCCTTTTGCTACAAGATTTTTAAATACAATGGAATGGAAATCTTTGACATGGAAATCAGATGAGCGTGACCTGCAGTGACATACACAGGTGACAGCATTATGATAAAAAAAGAGATTCATTTCCTCATAGAAACGCTCCTCTGCAAATGGCTCAGAAAATCTTCTTTGAACTTTTTCATGAACTGTCCAATATTCTGCTTCTGTGTTCAATAATCTTTGCATTAGCTCAATTGGTACTGCTCTCTGGCATTGGTCAGTCAAGCACTAAGTCAGTAGTTGACATGTCTGACCGTTGAAACAAACATGTAACAGTGTCACAGGGTTTACCTTTTGTTTACACTTTATTTTGATAGCCCACTTTATACACTCTACTAAAAGTAACTTTGCAACTACATGCCAACTTACTCTCAGTAGAGTACTAGTAGACTGTAAGGTTAGGGTTTGTTTCATAAGTTGACATGTTTTACATGTATAACAAAGGTACTTATAGTTCATACTTATAGGTCATCATTTACTCACCCTCAGGTTATTCCAAACCTGTATGACTTTCTTTTTCCATTGAACACAAAAGACGATATTTTGAAGAAAATGGGTAACCAAACAGTTGATTGTCCCCACTGACTTCCATAGTATGGAGAGAAAAAAATAGTATGGAAGTCAATGGGACCATCAACTTTTTTTTTCTTTTAAAACTATCTTCTTTTGTGTTCAACAGAAGAAATAAACGTATACAGGGTTGAAACAACTTGAGGCTGAGTAAATTATGACAGGATTACATTTTTTTGGTGAACTGTCCCTTTAAGTACCATCATAATAAAGTTTTAGCAGATATTAGTCTACTAATACTCTAATAACTGCTAGCTGACATGGAGTTGACGAGTTAATTATACTTAGTAAAATGTCTGAATTGGACTATCAAAATAAAGTGTTAGCACACAGTTTAGAGGAATCAACCTCCAAACAGAGGGAGATGACTGTGTTTGATAGGAATAGTGATTAGCTAGTAACATGTGCCACCTGGTGGAGTGTCTGAGTGTTTGAGTGCTCTCCGGTGCTCACCTGCTCCTGCAGCAGTGCTATCTGTTGACGCATGTCTGCCTCTCTGCGCCGCAGACGCTTATTCTCCTGCAGCATGCGCTCATGGTCCTTCTGCTCGGTTTTATAATCAGCCTCGTAGATTTGAGTCTGTGCATGGATAAAGTCAAAGTCTTTTACAATTACAACAGAGTAAAAACATCTATGAAGCAGATTTTTTTTTTTTTTTTAAATATATAAAATGGTAAATAAATGCAACTTACATTACTTAAACTATTACTTATATTCATCTTAAATTATACCCCCAAATTAACCTTTGTTCTCATTTGTAAGTCGCTTTGGATAAAAGCGTCTGCTAAATGATTAAATGCAAATGTAAATATTTTTCTTTCGGTTTGCCTACTGTACTAATGTTTAATGTTTAACTCTATAAAGCCTACTATGTCGTATTTGATATGCAAATATCTAAGTCCTCTGAATTATCACCGTCACAACACCTGTTGCTCACACCTTCTGTCCTCTGTTTGACAGTTCATACTTTTTATTTAAAGGAAAAAGAAAATGTAAAAACATCCACCTTTGAGCTCATTGTTTGCATGCTGCCTTTACTGATTTTTAAACAAACAAAAAATGTCTTTGATATTGTTAGTAATATTTCCAGATGAACTCTTACTGGACTGAAGCAGTTCAGCTTTACTTTATTCCCCATCAATCATTTTTTAGAGTCTCAAATCTGATCATCAGGTATTTGAGGAACATTTATTTGTTCATCTCTCAATCATCATTGTATTGCATTACATTATATGTTTTGTCATATAATGTCATTTATATAATCTAAATATCATCTTACTAAGACTATAGAGTGATGATGACTGATATTTATATTATATATTTACATGCTATCAGAATTTTTTTTAACTTTTTGGCCATAACAATATCTGCAGCTGCATTGAATTGCATATTTTTGCTCAGTTTGAGTCTCTGAATTTGTATGAATATATATAAAGTATGAGTATCATATTCTCTATATTATACTATATTAGCCATAAAAACCTAATTTATCAAATATATCACATATGCATTTTTTTCGCTATTTTGTTTAAAGGTCAGGCTTTGCAGTCTCTTTTCAAAATGACATTGAATGTTATGAACACATGATAGCTCACCTGACACCGCAGCGCCTCCAGCTGTTCTTTAAGATCCTGAACTTCTCTTATTGGGTCAGATTGTGTCTCTGTTCCCATGCCAGCCAGTCTGAGACTGGACTTTGTGTCCTGAGACGCAGGAAGCCCTGGAGTCGACCGCACATCCAGGGACGGCTTAGAAGGGCCCTGGACCAGCTGAGAGTCTGAGGAGCCACTGATATCTGGGGTCTTCCAAAGAAGAAAAAGTCAATGAACATGTTAAAGGAAAGTCACATAGCATACCCAGCTGATCTGATGCTGTAAGCTCACCTGAGTTCCTCTAGTCCACTGCTGAAGATCTGTTTGGTGCAGTCGGCTCTCCAGCAGTCTGATATACTCCTGCAGATGCTGGTTTTTCTTCAGTTCCTGCATCAGTGTTTGTTCATAATATTCCCTCTTGTTCTACAGACACAAATACAAACATGCAAAAGTCTCAGTTCATGGATCTGCTTCTGAATCAGAGCGATTCACAGCAAAACATCTGTCACACCATGGCGTTCCATGAAAATGTACAAAAAACAAAATTGATGTGCCAGCTTTAAAAACAAACAAACAAACAAACAAACAAACAAACAAA